AGCCTCCCAGAGGAGGCCCCCCCCCCTGCTGCCCCTGGCCAACGGCCTGAAGCTCTCAATGCTGAGGTGCCGCAGCAGAACTTCGTGGGTCAAGACCTGCGCAGGGGCCCCACAGCAGCTCACAAACGCGCACTCCGCGGGGGCCCCAGCAGGTGCCTAGCGGGGGCCCGCCGCAGCAGAGGCCCCTGGGGGCCCCTGCTCGCATGGGGTCCCCTGTTGCTGCTGTGGGGCCAGCAGCAGTGTCAGTGGGAAATTAATTTGAAATTCTTGCTGGGCCCACCAGGAGGGCTCTCAGGGCTTCTGCGTTGGGGACTTTTAACTTCATGTTCTCCCCAGGGGGCTCTATTTCAATTCTCATGAGGCCCTCTTCTCCTGGGGCCTCAGGCTCCTCACAAATGCTGTCTGCGTCGCTCAACTCGGGGGACCCCCCTTCCTCAGGGCCACTCTCTTCTTGGGGGCCCCCTACTTCCCCTTGGGCAAAGCCAGGGGGCCCCTGCCAAGTGCCCAGAGGGTGCACTCCGTGAAACACCACAGCTTCCGGCAGAGGCGACGGCAAGAGAATCGCTAGTGGCTGCAGCAGCAGCAGCAGCAGCAGCAGCAGAGGCAGCAGCAGCAACCACAGCAGCAGCGAGAACTTTTGCGGGCCTGCCGAGCTGACAGGATATGGAATAGTCTTACAAGGGCCCTTACCTGCAGCACAGATGATAAGGGTCTATCTGGAAACAGCTGGGACAGCAAGTTTGCTGCGGCTGCCTTTGTTTCAGGCGTCACTGCTGCTGCAGCTCCTGCGGCAGCTCCTGCTGCATTTGCAGCAGCCTGCGCTCGCTTGCTGCTGAACGGCGCCCAGTAACCCAACAGACCCCCACTGTCATACACAGGGCTGTTGGGAAGGGGGAGGTCTGTCTCAGTCATAAGGCTACTCTTTGCTACTGCTGCTGCTTCTCCTTGCTGCAGCTTGCTCTGCGTCTGCTGCTCCTGCTGCAGTTCGGGCCAAGTCAGCGGGGTGCACCACACGCGGTGTATGTACAGGTCGACGGAGTGTTCAGTCCTGGGCACACACGAGAGCAACGCCGGGCGATTCCGCTTCACCCTGTTGCTGCTGCTGCTGCTGCTGCAGCGCCAGACTCAGCGCTGCCGGCTTCTCTGCTGCTGCTGCTGCTGCTGCTATTACAGAGTCACAAACTAGGCATCTCACGACTGAGGGTCTTGCAGCATTTTGCGCAGGGACTCTGGCGCGAGGAGGCTCTGGGGAATTTGTCTCCACATTCTTTCTCCGCCGGAGGGAGCGCGTTCTCCCGTTGCTGCTGCGGGGCCCCTGGGGGCCCCTTCTTGCTGCTCGGGCGAAACCGGCTGCAGCAGCAAATTGTCGCTGAGGACCCCCAGCTCATGCAAACGCTGCAGGGCCTTCACTGCGAGGCCCTCCCAGGCTTCTCTCCAGTCCAGGGGCCTCTGCGTCTCTGCAACTTTCAGCTGCAGCTTTTCGGGCTTTATTGGCGTTTCCCTAAACCCTTTTAGTGGGGGCAGCTCGAGGGCCTGGGGGCCCCCGGGGCCCCTGCGTGCCCGCAGGGGCCCCAGAAAGAACACGGCCTCAGCAGCAGACCCTCGGGCTTCTCTAAAGCTGCTGCAGGCGGGTTCTCTGTAGCCTTGGGCCAGCACTTGCTGCAGTAGGGCCCAGGCCCTGCTGCAGGGCACAAAGGCCCCCGTTGCAGCCACGTGGAGTCCGGGCTTTTGGGGCCCTGGGGGCCCCACAGCAGCAGCAGCAAGGGGTGCCCCCTGGGGCCCCGCAAGCCTCCGCAACAGAGAGATGTGTTGCAGCACTGGGTACAGCTCGAAGCCCACAGAAGCTGCTCTCTGTGAGCTGGGCCCGGGGCGGGGTTCGCTGCTGCTGGAGATGGGCGCGAGGGGCGGGGCCTCAGCAGCAAAGAGCAGCACGAGGGGGGAGGGCTCTAAGCATGTGCGCGCTTTGCTGCTGCAGCAGGCAGCAGCCTGCAGCAGCTCGCTCGCTTTCTGGGGGGCCTCCGGCACCAAAACCAGCCCGTAGCTGCTGCTCCCAGCTGCATACAGCGCAAGCTGCGGACTAGCTGCAACAAGCAGCCTCAGTGGGGGCCTCTTTCGAGCTTCCCAGGCCCCCAACCCCGCCGCTGCCCCGCTGCCGCTTTTGCTGCTGCTGCTGCTGCGGCTGTTGCTGCAGCCCGCGCTGAAGGCCGCAAAGGGGGCGCCCCTGGCCAAAAGGCACTCCACCTCTCCGAGGCCCCGAGCTGCGAGGTAGAGGCCCAAGCACCAGGCAGCAGTTTTGCTGCTGCAGACAATGAGGGCCCCCCCCGCGCTGCAGGGGCCCTCTTTGCCGGGGAGGCTGCAGGGGCCCCTGCCCAGGGGAGGAGGCCCCTGCTCTGCTGCAGCAAAGCCGCAAAGGGCCTTGTCAAGTGCAGCAAGTCGAGGGCTGAAGAGGCCCCGCAGCACTTCCCCAGCCAGGCGCCGGCAGCAGGCTGCAGCCCCGGGCCCCAGCCCCTTCCCCCGCAGCTGCTGCTGCAGCGGCTGGATGCAGTTCTGCTGCCCTCCAGAGGCCCCGAAGTGCAGCAAACCCCCCACAGTGCTGAGGCCCCCGCTGCAGTAGGCCCTGTAGTGCTTCAGCGCTGGCTGGCGCACGAAAGCCCCCAGCAGCTCCATGAAAAGAAAACAAATTCCCAGATCCACGCGAAGCTGCAACAGATAGGGGTCCGGCCTGAGGAGCCCTGCGGGGGCCCCTCCGCTTCCAAGGGGGACCCCTGTCTGGGGGGCCCCTGCAAAGGGCCAGAGCAGCCAAGGGGGCCCCCCAGCGCCG